CGTGTCAAATTGCTTGATTGATAGATCGGTCACTTGAATTATTAATGACTAATTTTATTACTTAAAATGTATTGTGGAATATAATTGCAGTTTAGCTATATATACGTGCGCAAGTGACTGACAATTTGGTCGATAGAATGGACAATAAAAAATTTGTCATTAATTATTCATGCATGCATAATTAATTTTTCTGCATTCAGTGCTAATTTTAGACATGATATGCATTGAGTCCACTTTGTGTATCAGAAATTCATATTCAGCTGCGTCAACTATCTCATAGGAAGTCATTATATAAAAAATACCTCTATAAAAAAGTTTAGGATATAAAAATAAAGGAAATATAAAAAAAAGGAAAAAAAATCAAGTTGGTGCTATTAATAATCTGAACGAGAAATCAACACGAATGCTAACGTTAGTTAGTGTACGACGATCACAATGTACAAGATGTTTCTGGAATCGTGATTTTACATTTCAAAATAAGTCGAAAAGACAACGCTTCGTTTTCAAGAAAATCGAGTTTGAAAATTTAGCAAATGCACGTGTACCAAGACAACTTCTAACGAAATATATATTCGGTCTATTTTCTTAAAGAAATTCTATTTTACATTTTTTACATATTTTTGAATGTAGAACACTCCGCTATTAAATCATTTAGTCTAGAATTAATAAATTTAAAAAATCCGATTCTCTCGAGAATGAAATTTTGAATCGTTCTCGAATTTATCCTCCTGTCTTCGACTTATATTTTTCATATAGAACAACCACCTCGGGTGATTCGACACGATTTAGGAAACACCGTGTATAATTCTCTATGCTATATCGACACAGTAATAAATAACTTTACCAATTGTTGAACTTGCTCTGATCTCTCCTATCTCGAGAAAAACGGAGCCACGTTTCGGGAACTAAATGACATTGTCCGCGCGACTTTGCGCGGTTAATTAGTTCCAGTCGCGCCTTCTCCGAGAAGAAAAAGGAAAATCGGACGCGTGCTTTCGGGATCGAAACGTACGGCCAGGCGCCACGGAAGAAGGCGCGAGGAGATCGAATGGCGGGTGGAACGAACGAATGCTGGATCAAACCGAATCCAATAACTCCCACGGGATTACAAACCCGACCCTCGGGAGCCGAGCATTCCTCGAAGATGTGCAAGTTGCGAAGGCTACGAACGAACACGGGAGAGGACGCGGCTGCACGACGAACGAAGTGTTAGGATAAGGGAAACTAGTTCGGAAAGGTAGATCGTCGCCCAGGCGCTGGGATATTTCGTTGTGACCGACCAGACGTATATCGCGGCTTGCATTCGTATCAGCTACACCGGGTGAACCGGCAATACCTGGCTTGTAAGGTGGAGAGCCCAGTAGTTGCGAGCCAACTGGCTACGTGCGATATATTCTTCGACAATTTTCGCAAGAACATCTCGCGGGGCAGGGAGAAATGTAGATCTACAGGAAACGAGAAGTTTCGTCAATACGAAGATATTGAACTGGGGAAGGGAGGAGGGAGGGGGGAGAGGATAGCAAGTAGCATGAAATTATATTAGAAAATGATCGAGACGTGTTGTATTAAAGTTGTTTCGCAAACGCGTATTATAGTATTATACGTTTATTAATCGTCGATTTTACTTTCTCAGTATCGAACGATTTAACGTTATTTTACATTAACGTGAATTATTATTTATTCATCTCTTGGAATACAGCGGCTATTTATTTTTTAACGTATTTAATTATTATTGGTTATAAAAAATCCACGGAATTGTTTTTTCCTCGTCAGCAGTAAGAGAGTTGGAGTTCGAAGTTAATCAAACGTAACATGTAAGTGGAACTTCGTCGATTGTTTCATGATAAAAAGATAGACTGTGGTAATTAAAGCGATTTAGGACTGATCGCATTTTTGAAGAGAACTCTGAACCTCGATTAAAAATCGTTTTTATCCGATTCCACTCGGATCGATGAGGAACGACCGTGATGATTCGCGTAAACTGTTTTTCGCGTCGTTTGCTCGTCACGGTAACGCAATTTACGTATGAATTTTAAATAACGAAACATCCGTTAGATGGGAGAATCGTTTGCAGAGCACGTTGCAGGGAACGTGGTACGTGACAGGGTAGACGAACGAAGATCCTGGCGTGTTTTTACAAATGCAAAAAGATCGAACGATAAAGTGCTTTTGACGCGGGAATCAAAGGGCGAAACCGCAACGGTTCGATTAAAAAAGAATAACCCCCGGCCGGTGGTGGTCACGATACACCTCGGAGCACGGCAACAAATGCAGAAACAAAAAACAAACGAAGAAAGAGGTGATCGGCAAACAGAGCCACCAAACCAAACCGCACGAACCATCGTCGAAACGATGAAACAAAATATTTGTGTGGTTTCAACGATTTTCGCGACGCGCTTCACCAGCTCCCTGCAAAATTGAATTTCTCTAGGAAGATTCGTTTACCACCCGTTGCATAACATAACCATACACACACGTGAATCGACTGCTGCGCATCGTGTGTCGTGTTTGCGTATGTGTGCAGGTTATGTATATATGTGCATCGCGATCGGTCGAAGGAACTAGTGATAGGTAGATAGTTGTTTCGACCAACGATACGTTGTAAGTAACTTGGAAGTCGTTCATGGAGTTTTGACAGATCGTCGAACTCGCCCTGTTTCTATTTTCGTTTCTCTTCGTTTTGTTTCGATCGACTAAGCTTCTTGGCTTTTTAGCGGAGATAGTCGGAATGGAGTAACTGCAATATTTTACAAATAGATCTTGCGGATCTTTATAGAAATTTACAGACCGAAATGCACAGATAAAATAAAATATAGTATCTGCATAATGTAGATACAAAGTTGCAATATTCAGTCAGTGAAAGAAGGTGTAATAGGTTTAGGTTTTCTTGATTGAGTAAAAATTTAAATTCACGCAAGCATCCGCAATCTATCTTTATAAAATAACTTTCTTGCTAATAAAGTAGAAAGTTAGTCAATCTGGTAATGGCGTTATGATTGACATCAACATCATAGCTATCTAAACAGTCTCACAATATTTTTAATACCAGCCACATTTGAACGAATGATTATGAGAAATTTTATTTTATTTTATGTCTTAAGAATTTCACAACGACCCGACTATTCCTGTGCAAAATGCACTGCGCAGGTTTTTCGAAAGCTACTGAAATTGAATTCGAGTTCGTCCGAACGCCGGTGGAAAGCCGGCGAGTTAATTCCATCGCTACACGAGCTCCTTCTGCCAATAAAACGTAGAAACATTCCCGATCTAAATCGATCGAAAATTACGAAAGGTATCGGTCAAGCCTCTCACACCGGCTTGCTTTTCCAACCGAGGCAACAATGCTGCAGCACTAAATCCTCCGACCGCGCGCACTGCCAGAAACTTTTCCACGTAGTAGCTCGAGTTCTCCGAGGTTTATCGGGCGTCGGAGGCAGTTTCCAGCGGTCATATTTTTTTTTTTCTTC